AAAGCACTTTAAACACTACTGATAATTGCTCCCAGTACACGACTCCACTGTAAGTTTCAGCTTGAAGGTACTCGGCTCTAACTCCATGGATCAGCATACATACCTCCCCCAGCTAAGTGCCCAGTCACTAGGGTTGACTTGCTCCATGGTCTGGGAAGCCCACCACCCTGCCTCATGAGCTGGCTCTTAATTCTGCTGCTGCTGCTCCTCTGCTACTCCTCCAGTGCCACAGCTTTCTGTCCCAGGGTCGAGAAGGTTCAATGTGGGGGGATCTCTTAGGTCAAATGACATGTTCTACTCTTGACTCTTCTTTGATGGTAGTGTGATACCCCTCCTACTTCTGGGATGGCCCATTTTAAACCGAGCAGGATGGTAACACTGATCACTCAATCCTCTCATTAGATTTCCGTGTCTACAATCACAACCAAAGACTACAGACTTCATCACAGACTGCACCTCAAGGTATCAAACAAAGGTCCTCACAACTTTATCAATAAATAATATCATGATAAATGGAGAACAGATCGAAGCTGTCAAACATTTTGCTTGGATCCACATTCAACACTCACGGAAGCAGCAGTCAAGAAATCAAACGACATGTTGATATTACAGCAGATTTGCATGATTATCTCTTTAAAGTGTTAAAGAGCAAAGACATCAGTTTGAAGACGAAGTTGCACCTGACCCATATCATGGGATTTTCAATACATGTGAAAGGTGGACAATGAATAAGGAAGAGTATAGAAGAATTGATGTATTTTAGTTATTTTGTTGAAGAACATTAAAAGTATCATGTAATGCTAGTAGAAGAACAGATAAATGTGTTAAAAGGTGTACAGTCAGAATGTACCAGAACAGCATCACTCAAGCGTCTAGCTACGAGGTAGAAAAGCAAGACTGCCGTAAATTCTGCACTACTGGCATCGACGGAGCCATGACAATTTGGATTTCAAGACCCTATAATCTTCCATTCAGGGCCTTCGGATAATGTGAAGCTGAGCAAACCTCCTGGATTGATTTGGCGTGACCCCTCACGACTGCCCACCTCCCTTCCACCAGAAACACTGAAAACACATAGTGTGCAAATACCATGTGTATGTGGTTTTGTTTGAAAATAATTGGTGAAAATGTTGGTTTTTCAAAAAGGCATCAGTGATAATAATTTTTTTTTTTGGCTATTCCATTCCATTCCTAACCAAGCTTCTCTTTAAGTGGCTTATGTTGGAAAATTGTCATTTATATTGGAAAATCGTCACATTGACTTAAAGCAAGGGAGGAAGGTGTGTACACTGTCTACTAAACAGTTCAGTAAATATACTGAATGTGGAGACAAAAAAAAAAGGGTGTACATTAAGAATGCTCCTTAAAACTCAGAAAGGCAAAATGTCATCTCTTATTCTTCAGACATGTTATTAGAAGGGACCAGTCCCTGGAGAAGGATATTGGGTCAGAGAAAAAGAAGATGACCCCCATGGAGATGGAGTGACACAGTGGCAGTAGCAGTGGGCTTAGGTGCTCCAATGGCTGTCAGCTTGGCACAGGACCGGGCAGTGTTCTGCTCTGTTGTGCACAGGATTGCTGAGTCGGAACTGATACAACAAGAGCTAACAACAACAATAATCACAATTCTGTTAACAATCACAACTGAATCATATAATCCATCAGAATCTTCCCCCTCTTTCTCTTACCCAGACCTAGGAGGGCAAAAACATTGTTTTGATGGGAGTTACAAAGACTATGGTTAGAAGAGCCGTATGAAGTAATTCACTACACTTCAGATACCAATACACACTATTGAAATAATTAAAATAAAATAGTGACAACCCATAGTGCTATCAACGATACTAAAGAACCGGATTATTCCCGTGGATTGTTGGTCAGAATAAAAAATGGTCTAGTCACTCTGGAAAACTGAAATTTTCTTAAAGAATTATACATACACTGATTACATGACCTAGTAATATAATTTAGCTCTAAGAAACAAAAACACAGTCATACAAAAATCTGCGTATGCCAGCTCCATTTATAATTGCAAAAAAATGAACACGACTCAAACATCTTTCAATAGATAGACTAATAAATCCATAAAACATAAAACTACATAGCATTCAAAAGGAATAAACAGGATGAACAAAAATGAATGTATCTCAAAGACATTACCTGCATAAATGAAACAATCTCAAAAAAGTTACAGCCTATATGATACTGAAATCCTAAATTCTGAAAAAGGCAGTACTCTAAGGACTGAGAACAAATCAGTATTTAAGAGAAGTTAGGGATGGGAAGAAGACTAATTACAACAGGTACAAAAAGGAAACTTAGGGGCTGATGGCCCTTTTTGATAAGCTGACTGTGCTGGTAGGTTTCAAATACATGTAATGTGTACATTACATGAGCTAGATTCATACAAACATTTACTGTGATAGCAATGTACTGTATACCCACTGCCATCAAACTCATTCTGACACAGAGCCACCTTACATAGGGTTTTCCTGAAACTGTACATTGCTCTCCCGAGGAGCAGCTTGTGGGTTTGAAGCACTCACCTGGCAGTTAACAGTTCAATGTCTAACCCACGTAGCCATTAGAACTCCTTAATGTAACTGTGTCGGTTCAACCAAAAATTCATTATCATTTACTGGGTAAGACTGCTCTGAAAACTCTTACAGTTGGCTACTAGTATAAGTGAACTTCAAGAAATACCAGCATAAAGAGCTATATACTTTAATATAATTTTAAGCATTTAATTGTATTTCTTTCACATTAATTCTGTTGTTGTTGTTAGCCTTTAAGGGACTATTTGTACCTTAACACAAGTGAATACACAGACCATGTCTCAAAGAGTTCCCTAACATTGTCTTTTTTTTTTTGTTTTTATTTAACATTGTATATGCTATCACATCTAAAAGGCCTTAGTAATTTTTCTTTAGTTCTATTTCATTGATAGATTTTGAAAAATATATTAACCTCTAAATGAATATTCTATACAGCTTAGGTCTGACATCTGATTAGATTATATATCTCACCTGAATGACTTTGTCCAAAATTAACTATATTTTTTTGAGACAAAAACATCAATAAAGATTATCAGGGAAACTATGGATACAATCTACAGCATGAATGAACCTTGAAAATACTATGTTAAGTGAAAGAACACAGCCACAAAGGGCCACATATTCTATGATTCCATTTGTCCAGAACAGACAAATCTGTAGACACAGAAAGCAGATTTATCTATCTTTATGAAAATAATGCACGTGTAGCACAGTTTGTTGGTTAACCACATAACTCCCTCATGCTTTAGCTTCCTATGAATGTGTGGGTGTGATTTCTGGCACCCAAGTGTGGGGTAGACAGGAGTTGGGAAGAAAAAGACAAGATATATGTGTCTTCTTTTTGAGGTGATGGAATGTTCTCAAAACGAGAAGATGGATAAACAACTCTGAAAACCGGTATACTAAAAGCAATGTAATTATACACTTTATATATGTAAACTGTGTATCATGTGAGTTATATTTCCGTTGCACTGTTTAAAAAACTTGACTCCATGGGAAAACTATGTGATTTATCAAATAATTTTTAAATAAGATGAGAGACCACAGTATCAATCTTCAATATGTACCCCTCATAGGATGCTCAGCCATTTAAGAAGGAGTTGATATACACATTTAAATTGGATATGGTCATTTCCTCCAAAAGCCATCCTTATATGGAAAAGGTTGTAATCTAATTACACATGCTACCATATATAAAAAGCCTCGCTTTGCAGATAAGAAAATGGGGTGATACGCAATTCCATTTAGTCACATGTTGCTAAATTCTAACAACACTACAGGATAAGCACAGACGGCTAACTGCAGATCGGAAGTTCAAACGCACTAGCAACTCCTTGGAAACCCTATACAATGTTGCTGCATCGGAACCAACTCCACAGTACTTAAACAGCAACAAAACAAACCTGTTTTCAGGAAAATTGCAATGGTCAGTTTGAGTATCAAAAATTAAGTCTCAGTGAAAAACAGTGAAGAAGCAGAAAAGGTTAATTAAGTTGATCTAACTCCTTTTTGTTTACCAAGAAGAAAGAAAAAACAATTTAACAAGCTTCCTTGATCTTATAATTCACAGGTTGAGTATAATAGCCTGTGAATTATAAAATCAAGGAAGCAAACAGTGTATTTTCTAAAATGTGAGTATCCTTCATCAAGTTTTATACTTAGGGCAGCTAAAAGACCTATGTGAAGGGATCAGCATTAAGCCCAAAGGACAGGAAGTGCACAGCAAGAAAGAAAGCAATTCCCTCGTGTCTTTTGCAGGTCACTACCAAGGACCATGTTAGCAGATCCACACCAGACCCTTAACAGGCAGTTCTGCTGCTACCAGTAATTAGCTTGGACAGCTCTGGCTCCAAGAGTAGCAGCAAGGCTACACCATAATGAGCTCAGCTGGGATTAGCAGGACAGGGCAGGGAACCAAGAGAGCTCAGGCATTCTGCATTGCGTATGTATCTAGGAGATCAAACAAGGATGGCTGGCTAGGTTATCCCCTCTCCACCTCATTCCAAACATGAAGCACGGCAATGTCTCAAATACTGGCTAATGAAGAACGACACCTACAACAGATGAGAGTCCCATTAATTAACACAATCCCGAGCTCATATTATACAGTTCCAATTCGCCCTAGCCAATGTGCACCTTGTTATGGCTATACACACATGCATATACATATCTATGTTTGTATATGTAGATACAGATATATAAGTATATATGTAAGTGTTGCTAAATATACACACACTACTCTTTTTTTCTTTGTGTTGGTAAAAGAAACCAGATTATTTCATTGTCATATTTTATTAGGTATATCTCTCATGGTCTTTAAGCCATAAATTTTTTTTTTTTCTCAAATGTATATCTAAGTCCATACTGTTTTTTTCTCTCAAATGTATATCTAAGTCCATACTGTAAAAAAACAAACAATAGCAAAATACAAAGAAAGAAGCTCACTTTTCAATCAATAGCTCCTGGTTCTCCCGTTTGAAATATGCCAGCTCATTCCATACAGCATCAGAATCTTCTTGGCAAAGTTGTTGGGGATATGCTCTCTTGAATTTTATATCAGTCCTGTTTTTAAAATAAAAGCTTTCTTTCTTAACATGCTCAAAATGCAACAACAACAAAAATTAATGTTTTCTAAAATTCTAAATTATTTATATACCAGATTTCTAATTCAAGCTCACTACTAATTAGATAAATCTCCTAAAGTCTAAACTGTAGAAATTTAAAATCTTGTATCAGAATCTCCTAAAAGTGACGATACAGAATTTGAAGCTGACCACATGGTATTCTTAGATCTATTACTCTCACTCATTCTACCAGTAATCATATATTGCACAATACTGTCAGAGGCTCACAAAGGGGCTACAAGCCAACTCATCTAAAAGTTGCAGCCAACCAACCTGAATGTGGAGAAGATAATCTTAAAATAAGCTGTTATCCGAGAATAGGTCAGAAAGTACTTTCACCCTTCTAGTGGCTATTGAAAAGTTACAGGGGCTAAATGCAGGACAAGTTGTTTATCACAGCTTCACTGACAAGCAATTTGAAACATTTCCTACTCATGAAAGGAAAAAACAACAAACAACTTTGATGTATCAGTTATCTACAAGTCATGGACACATGTTCTTTAGGTTTCTGTTTTCTGTACATAAAACAAACTCTTCATTTTTATTTTATAAAAGTGTTGTACTGGCCAATTTAGAGACAGTATTTCTCTATAGAACAGACCAATGTGTATCATCAACACTGCCCTAAAGGATCTATCTCAAAAGGTGAGAGGGTAGTAGATTTTCTGTGCTCATTCAGTCCTGTGCCCTCTGTTGATACTGTTAACAGGGGAGCCACTTACAACTAACCAAGATCTGAACACCTGTTCAGAGCAATTGAACTGAGACTGCCAATCCATTCAGATAAGCTGCAGAACAAACTGATGGATAGTAAAGATTTGTAAATTGCATACTAAGTTGAAGTAGTTTTAAGACAGTTAACTGTATTATATACCTGAATCTCTCTTGCCTTTGAATGAAAACTTAAATACTTTTGAGTTATAAATCTTTTAGGACCAGCACTTTCTTTATTTAAAAGTCATTTTCTGTTCATAGGAATCATTTTTGCCTTAAATTTATATCCTTTTATTAAGCTATCCCACTGATATTAAAAAGGTACACAGCAACTCAAAATCATCTACTGCTGATATATGCAAATGAGAAGGAAATCTATAATTACTGCACACATATTTCTGTCTTCATTTATGATGGTGTCTATTTAAAATGTCACAATAAAGGGTTGACTACCAAATAATTTCTTTAAAACAAAAGGCATTACACCTATATAATGCTACCACATTCCATTTAATATTTAGGGAAATGCCTTTATGAGCTATGTAACTCACATGCCACTGCCTTCTTCCCACTGTTTTAATTGCTCTTTTACTGCTCTGTAGTTGGTCTGTAACATCTGTAGCCTTTCCTTGCGTTTTTCATGGGCATCTCTTAGCTCATCATTTTCTTGGCTCTGCAGAACACACAAGAAAACAAGTATATGAATTTGAAGCAAGTATTCATACAATGTTTCAAATGAAAGGCTACCCACATCTAAGTAGGAAATCTGAAAGTAAAACATACTTAAACATGAATCAACGTTTAAAGTATTTAAGCAGAAGAAAGGAAAGAGTTCCTAAAGTCACAGGGATTTTGCTTTTACTAAATAAATCTGACCCACTTGCTGCATTTTTTCAAGCTGCTGACATCATTTCAAAGTTTTCCTAGCAAATACATTTTGTTCTCTTCCCTGTTTGGTAATCAGTATAAATACAAACATTTGATGAGGTGATCTTACAGATCATGAATTACAGACCTTCAATTTCTTTCTTTTTTTGAAATCATGGATATGCCTCTGTATGGTTAGTTATTAGCGCACATATGATTATAAGAAGTCTAATAATAGTAAGGCCAATACTTCAGCTGATGGAGTCATAATTAGGGTGTAATAAAGCCCAAGGTTTACACAGGAGAGAGAAAATCCGACTGGTCCTGTTAAAAGTAACATGGTACACGGCTTAGAGGTGCGTACCACGAAAACAGAAATGACAGAGTTGGATTTAGTATTTACTTTATTTTTTTTTTAAGTTTTTATTTTGAACTGAGCAATAGTTTACATGGAAGAAATCAGCTTTACACCCATCGTGTCATTGCAATGATTATAATCTCCTCTGTGCATCATCATTCAACAGCATTTGCTTCCATCCCCTTCATTTTTGGGGGTTTTTTGTTTTTGTTTTTGGAGTTGGGGATGTACACAAAAACACTCAGGAATATATAATCATTTAAACAACCAAAGGGCACATTCTGCAAGCCTGCCTCCTGGCTGACAGCACACAGCCTTTCTCTTTCCATGAGTCTAGAGTCCTCAGCTGTTCTATCTCTTCATGTCCTCATCTCTGCCTCCATCTCTAGTGTTGCTGCTTCTCTGGATAGGGTCCCACATTCCGCTTGTGCTCTTCTCCCTTGATGTTTCTAGGGTCTTCTGTTTCTGTACTGTAAGACTAACTACCCCCCACGTTTTTGTTACAAAATTTCTACATTTACAGTTGTGACAGTCACAACTAGCCATAGTAACAATTACTAACTATTGAATTGTAAGAATCTTATCCCCATCTCTTTTCACCAGACCCTTCTAGACACGATGAAAACTATTCAGTGGGGACTTTAGTACCTACTCTTGGAGAGGTATGATAATTTCCAGTCCAAACTCTACTTTCATAATGCAACACCTGGCTGACACAATCATAGTCAACTACTTTAAATATTCTCAACAGTTTAATCTTCATTTTCAGATTAAACTAGTAAAACAAACTAGTAAAGGCTAAATTCTCAGTCCTCAGAAGATGTAGCAGGATTACTATGAACCGAGTTATTCTATGTAAAATAAATAACTGCCTAAGGTTCTTCCACTTGAGATTCCAATTCTGTTTTTTGTTGTTGTTGTTGTTGTTTTATTTAACCTCCTTCGTATTTCTATGTGGAGAAACTTGTATTATTTGGTGGGAACACCAGGTACTTGCAAGCAGTTATGGAAGACAAGACGAATCGAAATACACAAGTCAGAAAGATGTGTATTCCTCTCTTGAAGCTTTCTCATCTCAGCTCTGTAGCCTTAAGGGCAATATCTAAGTTCATTTATCTTCCACTATTATGAAGTTATGAATCGGGCTGTTAACCTCTGGGTCAGCAGTTCTAAACTACCAGCTGTTCCATGGGAGAGAGATGAGGCTTTCTGCTCCTGTAAAGATTTACAACCTCGGAAAACCTGTACAGGGTTACTATGAGTCAGAACTGACTCCACTGAACATAACAACTACAACTATGAAGTATAGACAAAAGCTCACCAGACACGCCTCGAAAACCCTATACAGACAGGGCTGCTGTGAGTCAGAACCGAATTGACAGTGAATAACAACAATGTAACACAGGCAAAAGGCGTTCCTGGTGGCACAGTGGTTCAGCACTCAGCTGTTCTCGGAAAGGTCAGTGGTTCAAAACCACTAATCTGCTCATACGAAAAAGAGATAGTATTCTGCATCTGTCAAGATTTACAGCCTTAGAAATCCTATGGGGGTTGTTCTGTTCTGTCCTACAGGGTTGCTATGAGTTGGAATTGACTTGACAGCACTGGGCTTGGGGCTGAACACAGGCAAAGACCCTGACCATGTACCTACCCTATAGAAGCACAATATAACAGCCTTTCCTCTCCTCTTCTCAGGTATTAAAGGCAATGCCTGTATTTTTCCAAAGTCGTATTCATTGTTCTCATGAATATTGATCTCTCATCTCAACAATGAGATAACATTGAGAATTTCCATTATTTTAATGCAATTCTGTCTCTGCAGTATGAATAGTTTGCCATTCCGCTTTGAATTTTTCCCATAATTCTCTAAAATAGTTACTAGAAAGTAGGAAAAAGTCTTTTGTATACTAAGAAATGGTTGATATGCCATGGGGAAATCGAAAAGCTTGAAGAAATAGCATGAGTATAGATGTCACTTGACAAAGGCATTCAGAGTAATTTTTATCCTGAATAATTTTAGATGATACAGAAATAATAATTACTTGTTATTGTTAAGTGCCATGGAAGTTGATTCCAACTCATAGAGGTCCTGTATAGGGTTTCCAAGGCTATAAACTTTTGCAGGCGCACAAAGCCTCATCTTTTTCTGAAATAGTGATAGGTGGACTTGATCTGTCCAGTTCTTATCTTACAGAGTCACTGCATTCCATCAGAGTTACTAGAAACTTATTAAAAGTGGCATGGCTTAATAGATGAAGTGAAAGTCAAAAATTCACAATATCAACTATTCAGTTGGTAACTGATGATTTCAATGCAAGAACCATACATTATAAGATAAGGGTCCCAGCATTCACAAATACCACTCAACATTGTATTGAAATTTTTAACTAGAGCATTTAAAAGCAAGAAAAAAAAAAATGCACCCAGATCACAAAAGAAATAAAATTATTTTTATTCCAGGCAACAACATTCTAAATACAAAATATCCCAGATTTCTAAAGACAACTAATTAGATGAATAGAAAGCTAATAAATGAATTCAGAAAAGTTGATCAACACACAAAAATCAGTAGTATTTCTATATATAACCAATAAATACGTTCAAAAAGATTAAGAAAACAATTATTTTTTTATACCAGCATCCAAAAGAATAAAATATCTAGAAAATAAATAAATAAATGAAGAGGTAAAGCACTTTATACTGGAGTTTACAAAAAAATTGGTGAAAACATTTAAATGCAACTTAAACAAATGAAAAGGCATCCATGTTCATCAATAGAAATTTCAACATTGTTAAGATGTCAACAGAACCCAAAGCACTCCTCAGATTCAATACAATCTTTATCAAAATTCCAGTAGCATTTTTGCAGAAATGAAAAGTTAATCCTTAAATCCATATATTAATGTTTTCTTGTTGTTGCCAAGTCAGTACCAACTCATAGTGACCTATTGCACAACAAAATGAAACACTGCCCGGTCCTGGGCCAACCTCACAATTGTTGCCACATTTGAGCTCACTGATGCTGCCCACTCTGCTAATCTATCTCACTGGGAGGTGTGTGTGTGGGGAGGTCTTCCTCTTTTTCTCTCACACTCCACCTTACCAAACATGATAATCCTTCTCCAGAGACTGGTCCCTCATGACAATGTATCCAAAGTATGAGAGATGAAGTTTGGCCATCCTGGTCTCCAAGGAGCACTCTAGCTGTACTTCTTCCAACACAGATCTATTGGTTCTTTTGGCAGCCCATGGCACTTTCAATAATCTCCTCCAACACAACAACTCAAAAGTATCAGTTCTTCTATGGTCTTCCTTATTCACTGTCCTGCTTTCACAAGCATATGAGGTTATTGAAAATTCCATGGCGTGGGTCAAGCGCACCTTAGTCCTCAAGCTGACATCTTTGCTCTTCAACACTTTAAAAAGGTCTTGTGCAGCAGATATGACTAATGCAAGATGTCATTTGATATCTTGACTGCTGCTACCATGAGTGTTGATGGTTGATCCAAGAATGAAGTCCTTGACAACTTCCATCTTTTCTCTGTTGATAAGAAGGTTGTTTATTGGTCCAGTAGTGAGGATTTTTGTTTTCTTCACATTGAGATGCAATTCATACTGAAGGCTGTGGTCTTTGATCTTCATCAGTAAATGTTTTAAGTCTTCTTCACTTTCAGCAAGCAAGGTTGTATCATATGCAAATCACAGGCTGTTAACAAATCTTACTCTAACCCTGATGCCACGTTTTTCTTCATATAGCCCAGCTTCTCAGATTATTTGCTCGGCATAGAGGTTGAATAAGCATGGTGAAAGAATACAATCCTGTCACACACACCTTTCTTATAGCCCAAACAGTGCTACCAAAAGAAAAATAAATTGGAGGACTCATATTTCCCAATTTTTACTACAAAGTTACAGAAATCAACATTTTGTGCTACTGTTATCAGGAGTGAAGTATAGACCAATGGGATAGGATTGAGAGCCCAAAAACAAATCCACAAATGTACGGTCAACTGATTCAACAAGGGTGCCAAGTTCATTCAATAAGGAATATCTTTTTTAACAAATTGTGCTGGGACAACCATGATTTCACATGGAGATGAATATATAAAAATTACAATGTATCAATAACCTAAATATAAGAGCTAACACCATAACATTTTTTTAGAAGAAATATTGATATGGATCTATAGAAACTTGCATTTGGCAGTAGATTCGTAAATATGATAACAAAAACATGAGCTACAACAATAAATAAATTAATTAATCTGACCTTATCAAAATTTAAAATTCTGTGCATTGAAAGGTATTATCAAGACAGGGAAAGGATAACCTATAGAATGAGAAAAATATTTAGAAATCATATATAAGGAATGACCTACAACTCATTAAGAAAAAGGCTATGGACCAATACCCTGGCACAAAAAAAGTGGGCAACAGTCATGAATAAA